AATAAAACATATTAATTGTAAAACATTTATATTAAGAAGAAATGATTTACCCCATTCTATATGAAACGTTTCCATTATTATGTTTCCAAAATTAACAGTATTTATTACCTTTCAATATTGGGGATTTTACAGATATGCCTTTTTCAATTAAAAATTAAACTTTTATTTTTTTTTATTTTTTTTCCTAATATAAACTCATTTAATCTTGACTATTGATCAAGAAAATGAATTGATGAGATTGATTTGTAAGGTTTTCACAAATGAGAGTGATTTGCAATTGATCTCTCATCTATATGTATATGTGTATATATATAATATTAATTAGGGTAAATTACATGATTTACACAAAATCATATTGTGCATCTAATCAAAATAATTATGGAAAACGTCCGCATGGTTTATATTTTCACAAGCCTTTGGTCCATGAACCCTAACCGTTAGATGACTTTGTTTAGTAGGTTAATTAGGAGGATAGTTTGTCATTTCATTATTTCTTTTGTTTTCTATTAAATCCACAGGGACGAAGAATGTAATCTATTAAAACTTTGACCCAACCTCTTTCTCTCTCTTATCTTATAATACATACACACAAACATTATATCTATACACACAACATATATATACATATACACACACAATAAAAGGATATATGCCCACATATACACAACATTCACACACATACACACACACACACATATATATATATATATAGAGAGAGAGAGAGAGAGAGAAAGCTAAGACAACTTGTTAACCTTGAAAAAAGTATTAACTATACAAATCTTTTGAACTAATCACAAACCATTGTTATTTTATGTTCATCTCTCACCATGCAATTAATAATGATGATATATTGGTAATTTTCTTTTTTGTCTTAATTCCATTTGTATTAATGGACTATTACTAAAATACCAATTTCCATGATTTTAGCTAAATTTCCTAAGCACAAAATCTTTGAAAAAACAAATCACCTAAGTACAAAAATTGATCAACAACTTCTCTCTTTTCCATATACTATCCCCTATGTAATAAGTTGAACAGAACCTCATTGTTCATAAGTGAACATGCTGGGTAAACATGTGAGATTAATGTTCACAAGCACACATATGATCAGGTAAACTTGATGGAGTTTTTTGGTTCAGACATATGTACATAAATGAACAATAATATGTTTGTTCATGTATAAATATAAATTGATACATGAACAATGATAAAGTTAACAACATATACATACATGAAAATACATTGATGTAATATGTCGATTGCTTTATGAGCAATAACAAAGTTAACACCATATATATGTATGCAGGTATGTCGGTTACTATTCGATAGAGTAATTACCTAATACTAATTAATGAGATTTTTTTTATATTTTTTAATAATACCCTTGTTCATATATGTTCATCTGTTAATCTAACGCATCATACTCTTAGCTATTACATAAATGTCATGATAAATATAATCCTTTGATTTTCAAGATGAATGGTTGTGATTGATTTACAAAGTTAACACCATATATTGGGTTAACAAAAGTACACCCCCTTATATATGCACATAAAGCATATATATATACACAGACACACCCACGTATCCAGAGAATATGTATATATACACACACATAGAGATCGTATATAAATATACATATATATACACACATATGAGGATCCATTCCAGTCACCTCACAGACCATCTCCATTCCCGCCACTGGACGGATAATCCTAGTGATCTTAAGAAAATCCCTTCCCTTATGAAAACACCATCGTAACGATCACCACCGTCACCTACAACTATCACCTACGACCACCTCCGGCCTCACCATCACCTTCACTTGTCTGGCCTCACCGTCATTGTCACCTGCAACCATCTCCTACAACCACCGTCATCGTCCCAAATGTTTTTTTTGCTATCAGAAAAGGGACGGTCGTAGATAAACTCAGACAAGTCCATCAACAAAGTGGAACTTTGTTTGGATCTTGACTGATTATTTAGACAAAATAAAATTGGGATGCATAAAAGATTGTTTCTAGAAGTTCTTCATGTATCTTAAAGAGAGAATGAGACATGGAAATGCATGACATGGAGATAATTGAGACACTTTGTGGTGGATAGTTGAGGTGGAGATAACCGCCTGAGATTTGACCATTCTTTTTAATGGGTTTCATGGGTGTGACCACTTGGACGATGGAAGGAAGACAAAGAGGTCGGAGATGAGGGGCTTCATGATGCTTTTGCAGCTGGATTACGAGGGAAGGTAAGATAGACCAAAGAATATTGGGAAATGGATGAGAGACGGGTCGAAGATGACCACAAATCAATTAGGGTAGTTTCTCGCGGTAGGGTGGTTTCTTGGTGATGTTATGTGGAGTTCTCCTTGCATGTTTCACTGTCGAGGGTTAAGAAGAGAAGGGGTTTATGATGGAAGGACGGAAAATGGAGTTCATTGGTGGTTGTGGAGGATTGCCAGAGATTGTGGCTGGAAGATACGAATGTGACAAAGGGTTGCCAGAAGTTGTGGTCGAAAGAGAGGAAGACAATAGTCATATGGGGTCTCTGTACGTTTTTGTCCATGTTCATTATTATATAATTAATATAATTTGCAATTTCTTTTTTTAATAAAAATAGGAAAATATGTAAATCAACTAAGATACCCTCCAAATAAACTGCTCAACATATCTTTTTAACGGTGTTAAGGTTCAGGGACCAAAGGCATGTGAAACTATAAACCATAGGGACATTTTCCATAATTATTTTGATTTAGGGACACACAATGTGATTTTATGTAAACCATGGGACCAATCATGTAATTTACTCTATTAATTAAGTAGACAGAAAAAAGAGACTCCCACAACCCCTCGTTTCCCACTCACCATTGTGGTTCTCCGATGCCCCTCCCCTACCGGTTACACTACTAGTCTACCACCTCCGATAGAAACAGTATCAACCCAACCCCAAACTTGCTCCAACATAAACCATATCAAATCCAAGAAAACCCAAATAAAAGAAAAAAAAACTTAACCCAAGATTTTCAGATAGACAAACCTCACTCACCAGCACCACTTCATCACAATCATCATTGTAATTTTTCTTATTTACCTCATGTATAAGCTCCGTTAGCCATTATGATAATATGATCATCATTACAATTAGCAATTCTACTTCCATCATAATCACTCCAACCACATCTTCATCCGAGCTTATTTCCAACACTACAATGTTCAGATCTAAAGCAACTTTTCATTCAAAACTCTAACAAAATTCCCTCAACAACTTGAAATTCTGGCAACAAACGAAAAAAAAATCAATTATTTTAGAGCGTCTTCATGGTTTAAGTAAGTTCAATAAGAAAAGAGGATTTATTTGAATTTTCAATGTGGTTTGAAGAGTTGAACTTATGTACTACTCTGGTATAAAAACTTTTGTAGATCATAGAGTCAACTCATGTGACTGAGTTAGAGAATGGTTTGATACATTTACGTATACCCCGTGCAACCATGTGTTTAATGCACAATAGGTGGGTGGGTCTCAGATTGACACTTGGGTTTGCCGTTGGTGCCCAATTGAGAAAATGGCAGCTAGTGTTCGTGGTTAGTTCACGGGTCTAGTGAAGAAGGGGGCATGGGAGGTTTGGGTGAGACTTACATAGACAAAGATGGTGGGTGGTTCTTAAAGATCGAGGCTGCAATGGTAGCCGACAACGATCGCTGGATGAGGAGGTTGGTTGCAAATGGGCGTTGTGCTGGTGGTTTATGATGGTAGCAGGTGTGACGAGATGGTGGCTGATGAAATGGTAGGCATATTTATCACCAAAACCAAGAAAACCAGAATTCTAGAGACGACAAATAATTTAGGAGTTGATTTCAAATGACTCTATTTAGTCTTTAATGCTTCCCTCCTCCTATGACAATAACTCAATTAGACCGAACCATTTTGTTGTTCAAAATACTTGAAACCGTTATTCTATTACATATGGAATCAATTGCTAAATTGTTTCATGCATAGGATGTACTGATCAAATTAAAAGTATGGATTTTGATAATTTTAACACGAAAAACTCAAAAAAATAATATCTTTTGAAAAAAAAATGTAACATTTTAATGACATCAAATATAACTTTTTGATGATTTTTGAAATGATTTCTAATAACAACTTTGAAATTTAGTGATCAAATAAAAAAAATTCGAAAATCCATTGCTATTTAGAAAATTAATTAAAATAGTCATTTTCAAGGTGGGTTTCACCTCTTAGTCATTTTTATCTCAAAATAACAAAAATAGTTATAGGTCCGTGATTGACAGATCCACAATTTGTGGAGGTGTCAAAGTGTAAAAAAAAAGTTTCTGAACCAGATGTATAATTGTAGGGATTGAAAATGTAAATTAGTTATAGGTCTGCAAAAAAACCTGATTCAGAAACTTCTTTTTTCCTTACATTTTGACTCATTCGTAAATTGTAGACCTATGACTATTTTCGTTATTTTAGAAAAGAAATAGCTAAAAAGTAAAATCATTTGGTTCAAATAAATATTTTAATTAATTTTCCTGCTACTTATTGCATTTTGTACAATATTATAATTAGTTGAAGATGAAAATAGTTGGCAAAACTACATGTGTCGTGCACATGCTGTTTTTAAGGGTACACATGTAACGATGTTAAGCTAATGGACTTAGGGGCTGTTTGGTTCGTTAACTGTTAAGACCTGTATGTATATAGTTGTTTGTATATTAACAGATAAGTTGTTGTTCGATTGTTGTGCTAAATAAACAGTTTGAATGTCAGGAATGACCATTTTACCCCGTCTCTATTTTTGTCTAAAAAAATAACAGTTTGATGAAAATATTGAATAAATGATTTATAATTATAAAAAAATATCAATTTAAAAGTTTTTAAATAAAAATAACTTGATTAACATAATTATATGAGTTAAATGTTATAATCAAAACAACATTAATAAGTCTTTGTAATAAAAACAAGTCAACATCATAGTTTGGATACAATTTAAAATATCAAACATTTGAAACTAGTCCATTTGCAATTTGATCACACAAATTAGCCATATATTGTGTGCTATTAACACCCCATTGTGATCCATCTAGTTCCGCTTCTCGACTTCCAACATTTTCTTCTTCATTGGTAAAAATGGTGTCTTCGTTGTACTCCATGAAAAGTTGATCTTGAATATTACATTTTCTTATAAAGTTGTGTATCATGAAGCAAACAATGACCACATTTCTTTGTTTTGTAAATGGAAAAGGAGCCATTTGCTTCAAGATTTGAAATCTAGCTTTCAAGACACCGTAAGCACGCTCAATGACATTTCGAAGTTGTGCATGCGCATGATTAAACTTGTCTTCTTTAGTTAAAGCACGTCTCTGCATCCAACTATTGATTAGGTAAACATGCATTATTTCAAATTAAACATGTTTGATATAAGTAAAATGATGTATACCTTCAGGTGGAAAAAGAAAACCAGAACTTGGGTTAAATGCAACTTCGGTTAGCACTCTAGAATCATGTGCAATGTCTTCCCATCCAGGCCAAACAAATGCGAATATCACATTGAAATCACAAATGCCTAGAACATTTTGGTAGCATTGACCACCTCCTCTTCCTCTATATGCAGTTTGCTGACTAGCAGGCACGACTGCATGTATGAGTGTCCCGTCTAGTGCACCAATTGTATCCTTCATTGCTGAAAAATGTTAAAAATTTGTACTTAACTATTAAAAAACTACAAAAACAAAGCTTACCGGAAATATTTCTCTCAAACGACTTTGCCGATTTTATAATCTATGTGTTTGTTTTAGACGCTGCTGGACAGACAATTTCTCTCGCAAACTTCATCATTCCTTATAGAACTTCATGAAAACAACTATGAACAGTGTTGATGGAATGTTGAAATCTTCGTTTGATCACTCTATAACGTTCGTTATGTCCGATCATTGTCAAAAACATAGCTACTACCCCTTTGTTTAAAGTGATTGCATAGTAATACATATGCTTCACGAGGCATACACATCAACTCCTGACATTGCAAACTAGATCCATGTAGCAACTCTTGTGTATATTCATGTCCACTCATAGCTGAAGTGTTATCTCGTATCCTCTCGATTCTTGTTGAAGAATTTATTCTTCGTCTTAAATACCAAAATAATAGAGTTACCAATAAACGTTCTTCCTTGTAAGTCAACATATCTAAAATTGCAAAAATAATCGTAAATCAACTTGTAAACAATATATATATATATATATATATATATCTAATATTGCAATAATAATCGTAGAACAACTTGCAAAAATCAACCAAATATCATAAAAACCAACTTGATAACATAAAACCTAATATCATTAAAGCATTTATTCCAAATACATCAACGGCCAAAAAGAGTCATAAGCATCAACAAAAAAGTCATTGGAAATGTATCATAAGCATCAACAAAAAAACAAGCATAATCCTAAACATCAATGGCCAAACGGACAACCACCTACTTGTAGCCTTGTTTATCTCCAACCGTCTTAACCCAATCAACCGCATATTCGGGCGTTATCATCAACTATGGCTCTTTATTGTCCTTGTCACTAAAAAGAGCCATTGCAATATGGTCCAATGGACCATCTTTTGGCCATCCAAGTTCATTGAGTTTTTGAAGACAAATCATGTAAGAAGGAGGCTCCACACCCTCGGGGTTCCCATGTTTTACGACCAAAGCTTTTAGAACTGACAAAATCTCCCTCATCTATGTCAGATTGGCTAACTTTTCTCTTGTTTGTTCTCACTTGAGTACGAGCTGAAGATACGGGAGTTTAGGAAGTGGGTGGGAATTAGAGATCTCTACTTCCTCATTGTTGGAAACAAAGAAAGGCTCGACAGAAGGCTCGAGGTCATTTGATAGCGGTCCAAAGCTTCCAATTCCCGTTGAAACACCGCCTTCAAACAATTGCGTACACAACTCGGGGAATGGAAGATTAATTGTTCTTAATGATTCAACATATTATTTGACTGTGTTACAAAAATAATTATAAGTAACTAATCAAATTTTAAATAGAAGGAAAAAAATATAACAAGAAAGTGACCTGAATCTCGAGTTCCCATTGCTCAGATGTCAAATTAAACGAGTTAGTTGAAGGATCATACACGTTCCCCGTTTTATTTTTAAGTTTCAACCACGCCCCATATTTTCTCTTTAATTAGTCATAGTGGTTACGCATTTGCTTCCTATCCACATGAAAGTTGTGAATCTCCTTCAGATTAGTCAAAAACTTTCTTCCAGGACAATGATTTTAGACTTTCACCTTCCTTTCCGTTCAAAGCTATCTCAAGAATGCAATTTTCTAGAAACGTTTTTACAACAACCATGTTTTTCCAGCTTATCCTAGTCCTTATTTGCGGTTGTGAATCGGCCGTTTGGTCCATACCTAATCGGTTGAAAATCAGCAAGTTGGAAACACATAATCGGCAAAGACATGAACAATGATATAACCCCAATCCTTGAACTAATCTTTACCCAGTTTATCAAGATATCAAACTTTACCAATTACCAAACATTCATAATATAACAACCATCTAACAATTTAAAATATATAGTAGCAATATGCTCACTTGAGCATAAGTTTTCCATTTAGATATATAGTAGCAGTAGCAGACCCACAAATAATGTTGAGTCATGTAAAACAATTAATAATTTTTAGGATTAAGAAGCATGTAAAATAGTCAACAACTTTTATTTTCTGATAAGTACAGTCAATGGCTTGAAAGTCGATTTAATAATGAGTTATATTTCTTGGCTTTGCTCAGATAATCATGATCAAACTCATGACCCTGATGTATCATCAGTCAGCATAGTTTGTCAAGGATGCTTTGATGGGATGAATGAGAGATTTGTCTTCCAGCTAATAATGTTGAATCTAAAGGGCTGTCCCATTTACCATGAAGAAGAATACACAAACTATTTTTAGCCTGCTTCTAATTTAGGATAGAATGTAGAGGAAAGTGCATGTTTGAACAAAATCAAACTTTTTTAGCATGCTTCTGTGTTGCGTGGCAGGGTGGTTTTCCATAGCTGTGTGAGCGAAGATACATAGAACCACATACAAAACCACACCCACAAAACCAGTTAAATACACAGACACACACATATAAACACACATCGAAGCAATGGTGAGGTATACCTGTGTGAGCGAAGATGCTTCTCGAACAGGGTTGTGGAGTATCAATCAAGGAACTGAGTGATTCTTCAATGGTGAGGAATAGTTGTGTGAGCAAAGATGCGTCTCTATTTAGGGTTGTATTTTTCAATTTAGTGTGAGTAGTTGGGGTAGAGAGTAAAGTGAGGGTAGTTGGGGAAAAATAATGGCTGATTACATAGGAGTGTTATTACATAGCTGTGCGAATCAACCACTGAAATCAATGATTAAGCTTTACCGAACGCAAAGATATGGTTGTGCGAATCAACCATATCTGTTATATGGCTCAGACAATATAACACCCCAAAAGTAAAAGATAATATAAACCGAAAAATTTTAACGAGAACCAGAATCTTGATAGGAAATTCACCCAACAAAAGGTAAAAGTATAGCGTTTACAATTTAGCTAATGAGAAGATAAATAACAACC